TGATGCTACTGACAGACTTTGCACCTGCACTAACATTTAGAAGGTCAGGATATTAATGCAATAACTTCTTCTTCTTGCCTGTTCACTCGAGCAGAAAGTTCTAGCTTTTTGTCCAACTCTGGACTTAAGTCTTGTTCCAGAACCTGAGTGTTGCTTATACATCCATTTTACAAATCTGGCTTATTGATATGCAACCTCTTGGCTTCTTGCCTCTTGGTCAGATGCACCCTGACTTCAAAGGATAACCCTAATTAGTTGACTCCTCCAACATCTTGATGGGGAGGCAGTGAGCCTATTTTTGTATTCCCCACAATAGGGCACCAGAACCCACATGGGGAACTACAATAACTAAAAACATCATACAGAGTTTTTATTTTGAGCTAAATAGCATTCTTAGTTGATGTCAAATGTTCCCATAAGCCTTGGTGATAAAGGTCAGGGGTCACAGCATGAATCAACTGAAATGTATTTTTAGACCCCAGGGAATTTACTTTATGTAACACTTTGCCCTGTTTTGTTTACTACTTACTTCCTTCATATATGTGACATTGTTTGCTTGTTGGATTCTTGTTTCAAAATCAGTTTCATATTTGTGCCAGGACATGCAGATGTGCAAAGAAATGAGCAAGCAGAGTGGCTTGCAGGTCAAGCTACTGTGGAGGGTGGACAAGCAATGGACCATGCTGATATTCTGAATGCTCTTCGAGAAGTAAGCCGTTTGCGAGAAATAAGTGATAACTGAATCCGCAACCATGATCAGACTGCAAGAACAACTAGTTGAAAGGGATGTAACCAGACAAGAACATTATGCAAGAAGCTAAAGAAGAATAAGAAATCAACAAAGAACTGGTATCGTGAGCTACTTACTACACGCTGTGGGATTTACTCAGGAGGGGATCAGAGCCCTTATGGACTGAATGGCTTGATTTGCAATGGGAATAATCTGTTGACTAACTAATTCTTGTTTAAGTTCTCTGTCTATACAGCCATCATATGTAAAGATGCTCACCAAGTGATGAACTTGTTTTAAACTTTGATCTTCTCTCTTTATGTTGATTTGCCTATAAACATATGGGTCTAGCACCATTTATGTTGATCTAGATCAGTGATTCTCAACCTTTGTATACCTGCAGCAAAACAAAAGAGTGGAACTTTTTCCATGGTCCACCCAACATCTAACCAAACACAGAAACAAGAATGGATATAGACAGTAGTTCATCTGTTAAATCCATTGCCAGAAAATTACAATTTTCAGCTAATGTGACAACTGTTGCTTCTTAGATGATACAAAGTCTGATGTATGTGACTGAAGCGGTGTTTCTGATATACCAAGTGCTACAATAACATCTATCTCTTTTTTTTTAAAACTGATATGCCTCTGAAAGTCTTTACAGACAAATAGGAAGTCCTTGAGGTGTTAATGCTAGAGAGAAAACCCCATACCCTACTTGTTTCATGACAAAGCTGCATTCTTTGGTGGAACACATGGACTTTTCTGAGGCCCATCAGTGAGCCATCGTGCAAAGGTTGTATAACACTGATCCAAATCAATCAAGAAAACTGGGTCCATGTCTCACAAACATACTCACCACAAACTCGTAAACATGATCGCTTGCATCTGCACACTATAACCACCCCAATGGATGCGAACACAAAGATAAGACCCAGAACGGTACCACTGAAACAACAAAAAACAGCAAACATTAAAAAAATACCTTCCTAAACAAAAAAAATGCAGCGACTCCATGGCTAAGAGACTATAAATTTTTTTTCTAAACTAGGATGCTTCTTCTTCTTTGCATTCACTGGCTGTCAATTCCAGCGGAAAGTTCTAGAAGTTCGTCCACCTCCAGACCTCAGCCTTGGTCCAGAACCTGAAAGTTGCACCCACATCTGTTTCACAGATCTGGCTTACTTGTATGCAAAGGATGTCCCCAATTAGTCGACTCTTGCGACATGCTTGTTGGGGAAGCAGTGAGTTTTCCCCATAAAGAGGCCATGGAACCCACATGGGGAAAACTAGGATTCATTTCATTGTCTCCTCCGATTTACGGGGTGCATCTGCCTGAGAGGCGAGGAACCCACAGTAAGCCCACAAGTAAGCCAGATCTTTAAATCAGATGTGCACTCAAAATTCAAGTTCTGAAACAAGAGTAAAGTCTACAAGCATTAGGTCTCTGCACAATCTGAAACTCCAAGTGTATGGGGGGAAGGGGGCTGAGTGGTCTCGAGGTATGGTGTCGCCTCGAGTGCTAGAGGTCCTGGGTTTAAGACCCGGTGAAGGCTGGGATTTTTTCAAGTGGGCTTCTAGTAATTTCCCCTGGTCTCTGGGTAGTAAGATCAGACACCCATGTGAATTCTTGCGCACATAAAACAATCCCTTGGCAGTTGGAAATCCAAAAGAGTAGCCTAACGGGACTGCCCAGACAAAATTGTGAGTTAACAATCTACCCAATGTATTTCAGGATCCTCGCCGGTGCAACAGAGTTTGTGCACTGCTCTGAGATTCTTCAGTCTCAGGCTTGAGTTAGAAGTCGAACGGAGCACTAATGGGTTACACCCGCGTGCCATGATGTTGATCTATTGAATAAAAATAAACATGAACTCCAAGTGTCGGATCTGAGGCCCTACTTTTGTAGGGGAAAACATTTAAACACCTGCTGCTCCCTATTAAGCATGCCATAAAAGGTAATTTAGGAATTTGGATAAAAGAGCTAGAGAATTAAGTTAAAAAGACGGGGAAGACCTGGTGAGAGCTGCACACAATGGCAATGGATAGAACGATTTGGCATAAACTGGTTGAGGCCCTGTGCCGCACTAAATGTTAGAAGACAGAAGAGAAAGAAACAAACTTAAGGAATTAATGAAAGTGGATGTGCTGAACCAAAAGGCACAGACATCACAGACTAGCTGTAAACCGCATAACAATGTGCCAACCATCCTTTTAATGGCTTTGCAGAAAATGAAGAAAAAGAAGCTATTCTCAAACAAATGAAACTAATCCAAGACACAGATAAAACAATAAACAGATGGGAGAAATTAAACAAATATTTTGGGCAGGTTTAAGTCTACAAAGGACTTGTGTTGATTTGATAAGCTGAGTTGAGTCAATAATTGACATCACAGCACTCGGGGCATTCCCATATGCACTCCCTCCCTACCTTTAGCAGCCACTGCAGTCCCAGTACTAATGGTACCAGGCATAGTCTGGTTAAATGTCCGTATTGCCTTTCCTCCGAGTTTAGTGAGCCGGCCAGACCCTCTGGTCACACCTAGGAGCATCATTCTCTACACCATTATAATCTAGTTTCTCTTCTGACTTCGTTACTTGTTCCCGAAAGGCTTTGACCCTATCTGCTTTGTCATGTATCAATTCACCACCCAGTGGTGTAGATCCAGTCAATGTGTCCGCCTGTTCATTACCCACCATGCCGGTATGGCCTGCAGAAAAGATCTAAAGTATGCTCACTACCTGTGACATACCAAATGAAGCTTGTTACTCTCACAGTTGATCAGATAAGAATCTATGCTCCACTGGTAAATGACAGATGCAGAAGAAATATATGATAAAGTGATTTACAAGATGCAGATGCAAAGAAGAACACTGACAGCAAATGGATTCTGCTCCCGACTGCTCATATCAAGCGTGGCAACACAGGAAAAGGTGCAGTTGAGCTGTTTGATACATCTAATAATCCCCTGTAATGAAATAAGATGCTCTCGACTTTAACTTTAACTTTTAACACTGCAAGGTTCTTACATTATAGGCCACATGATGCTGCTTTCATTCTTTTGTTTCTTTGTAGATCCAAGAGATGTGCTTAGTTGGTGGAGATGCACAGTTGTAGTAGTCTCTGTCAGTATGGTTTGGGGTTCGCTGCTAATTACCATCGCTGATGTTTTCGGTACAGGAATAACAGTGTGGAGTTTATCTGGAAGAACATAAAACAGATCAATATTTGTGCGTAATTTTCTACATTAAGGCATAATATATAATGATCAGGTAAAACATGACGAAACCATAACAATGTTGTCCCTACGTAGGTTTGCCAAACATGAAGAAACCATAACAATGTTGTCCCCACATGGGTTTGTGAAACATGAAGAAACCATAACAATGTTGTCCCCACATGGGTTTGTGAAACATGAAGAAACCATAACAATGTTGTCCCCACAGGGGTTTGTGAAACATGAAAAAACCATAACAATGTTGTCCCCCACATGGGTTTGCGAAACATGAAGAAACCATAACAATGTTGTCCCTATGTGGGTTTGTGAAACATGAAAAAAACCATAACAATGTTGTCCCCACGTGGGTTTGTGAAACATGAAGAATCCATAACAATGTTGTAACCCACATGGGTTTGCGAAAGATGAAGAAACCATAACAATGAAGAAACCATAACAATGTTGTCCCTATGTGGGTTTGTGAAACATGAAGAAACCATAACAATGTTGCCCATGTGTGAGTTTGTTATCAGTAGCATGGGTCGACTCTAGGCTGAAGAGTCTAGAAGGCATCTCAGGTGACCAGTATGAGGCTTTCTTAAAGCGTTTCTTTTGCCTGCCTTGGGAACGTTTCCCATTTTGCAGCTCACCATTAGAGAGTTTTTTTGGGAGACTGTGATCTGGCATGCATGCCACATGACCAGCCCAACAAATCTGATACTGCATCAGTAGAGTGTGGATGCTGGGCATGGCTGCTTTCTCAAGGACTATGGTATCAGGTACTTTGTCTTGCCATCAGCTCTGCATTAGTTTTCTAAGGCAAACTGAGTGAAAGTGGTTTAACTTTCTGGGCTGGCGCTGGTATACAGTCCATGTTTCAAATGTGTACAGCAGTGTAGTTAATACAACTGCTCTGTATACTTTAAGCTTTGTCTGCCTGCAGGGTTAAGCTATTTTTGGCACTACCCTTCAAGTGGCTGGCGCCCAGGGCATCTGCCATACCTTAGGTACACCACTGAATACAACCCAACAATGTTAATGGTAATGCTTACCTGGGTGGGAAGACTTAGTTGTTGCAATGGGCTCTGGTTCACTGCAGATGTTGTCTGCTGTAGCGTTAGAGATGAAAGTGTACTCCAGTCCCAGAAGAGTGCAACTGCAGGGAGAGAATTAGAACGTAGACAATTCAAAATCTTCCTTAATCAGTGTTCATAGCCAAATTTACAAATCAGTTTCAAGGCTTTTCAAGGTCTCCTTAGTTTTTTTTCAATGTTGTCTCAGAGTAATACTAAAAAAAGGTATTTTTGCCTTGTTCAAGGGTGTACCGAGCACACAAGGTACTTCATTCGTGCACATATATGTGGGTATACCAGCACAGAAATCGTGTTTTTACATTTTTTGTAGACTTAGTGGTAGAGGGGAGTAAATTGAAGTCCTATCTGTTCTGGACCTGGTACCTGAAAAGGGGAGAGGAGAAAGAGAGAGAGAGAGAGAGAGAGAGAGAGAGTCATACAGAGAGGGAGATGATGAGGTAGGCTGGGAGAGACAGTGTAAAGATGGACAGATAAAGGTAGAGGAAATAAGGGAAAGAGAGACTTGGAAAGGAAGAAATAAGATGACCAAGAGAGGGAGGGATGGAGACATGATGAGGGAGAGTGGGGGAGGGACAGCGAAAGACAGAGAGGGAGACAGATCTTAATACTCTGAACAACTTTACTAATAAACAAGACGTCACTATAGTAACAATTGATTAAAATGAAGCAAATAAACTAATCCTTCCAACTGAAACGCAAGATCATTTTATGCAATCTATTGCCTGTGTCTTCTTTTTTCAAATTCACAGAGAAACATTGCTTTGATTTTTAAAAATAAGATGTCTTCAAAACAGGCCTGTGGACAAGTAGTTTATGTATACTTTGAACAGTCCAGTAATTAGCACTGCTGGCACCATTCCATCTTTCATAATGAAAGTGTACCACTGTGCTACATGGAGACATGGGAATCACAGACCTGGTGATGGTGAGTGCAACTAGAAAGACCAGCACACTTCAAGAAGCATCTTCCACAAAATGTGCATTAGAATTTGGGACCACTGTTGCCATCTTTGTTTCTTCTCAATCTTGATCTGATTCCAGGATGATTAAAGCAAGGGACAGAGTTCCTCCTCTCTATAGCAAGAACGCAGGAGCCGCGTTAGAACAGTCGAAAGGAGGCTCGCTTTCAAATCAAGCTGTCACTCACTGCAGCCACGGTCCGTGTTCGCAACTGGGCGGTTCCCTGGGTTTACCCAGTCTCTAGGAAATGGGTACCAGAGTTGACACTCTGGGGTAAATGGAGGAACGTAGCTCTAGGTACGGAGTTATGTGTGGACAGCAACACAGGCAGAGAGCTTCTTATCAGCTGTCCGTACTGGTGGCAGAGCACCTATGGTTTATGCAATGACGCTAGTTCACATCTCCTGACTTTACCTTTTTTTTACCTTTATAGCTCAAAGCCTAGACAGTATTGCAGAAACCAGATGTTGCCCACAGCATGACCCCTCTCTCAGCCGGCTTTGTTAATATAACAGAACAAGTAACACCAATATATCTGGAAGAAAACATGCTGCAGAAGCTGCCAGATCAGAACAGTAGTGCTCTTTCCACTAGTCAGAGATTCCCTCCTAGACCAGCTGCCAACCGAGGCTAAGGATTTTGTGCGCCCTGTCGTAACATTGAGTTTTCTGATTGCATTTCGGTGTCATAGGATAAGGCTAGTATTGTTCCCAATGCGCTCCTCCATCTGAAGGCATTGTGAGATGTCGGAACTTACAATGAGTGCCTATGGACCAATGAGGGTCCAAGGTAACTATCACTCTGTGCAAGTCTATTTGGCTGGGGGGTACTGCAACAAATTCCTCACCATGCACTATCTTGTCAATAGCACAGTTATGATCATGACTTCTGCCTATGAGCTACCCTTCAGCCAATAACCCTTGCTGTCTCTCAGAGCCTCAAGTAGAATGTGCTCCCTGCCTGTTACGACTTTAAGGTACATTTTCACCTGTAACACCTTGTATCTTTCAAACACGGACAGCAATGCAAGTATTTGCTGCAAGCACATTATGAACGTTCCCTGTGTACATCTCATTTTGCATGTGTTCCAGTCTCTCTATTTGGCTGTTAGATAAAGTGCACAGCCCCAAATCATATTCCGTCACTGAAATAATCAGTTGCTGATAGAGTGTGTAGAGCATTCTCAGTTCCATGTCTGCTGATATCATCACCTTCTATGCACTGAGTCTTTTCATTATTTTCAACACTAGCTCTGCCACGTGGTACCTGAACCTGAAATATGTAGAAAGTGACAAACTGGAATAGAATGATGAGAAATGAAATGAAACCACACACAAAAAATGTAGACAGTGGTCCTTTAAAATGTGATGAAAATAGGGGTGACTGTAGTCCAGCTACTACCAAACATTCTACTCTTCCTGCGTGTGTTTTTTTTTTTGGTCACAATGACCAATGCAACATGACATGGGCTAAAAGACTGACAGTACAGGAGAAAGAAAGCTGGGAACTGACAAAATGACAGAAGCTACATGGACTAAAAGAAGAAAATATCTCACTTTGTTTTTGGCTCACATAAGTTGAAACTCCTGGTGCTCTTGAAATTATTATTTTTACAAGGTGCACAGCCGCCTGGTGATCAAGTTAGAATTCAATATTAACTTCATGTGCGAAACAAAACAAACAAATGTTTATACTAATTTTGCAATAATAACCTCAACATCCTCCTCTGCTGATTCACCTTCTTCTTCTTCTTCTGCATCTTCTCCGCCTTCTCCTTTTCCTCCTTCTGCATCTTCTTCTCCTCCTTCTGCATCTTCTTCTCCTTCTCCTTCTGTCTTTTATCCCCCAATATTTCCTCATGAGGGTTCCGGGGCCCTATTATTAGAAAAACAAGAACAGATCCACTGCCAACCCAAAAGCATGTCGTAAGAGTCGACTAATTGGAAGCTTCCTTCAAAGTCAGAATGCATCTGCCTGAGAGGCAAGGAACCAACAGTCTGCATACAAAATGAGTCAAATCTGTAAAATGGATGCACATGCAACACTCTCGTTCTGGAACAGGACTGCAGTCCAGAGGTTGATGAATAACCAGAACTTTCCGCCAGAGAAAACAGCTGGTGAACACGAAGAAAAAAAAGATTCCCCCCCCCCCCCCCCACAAAGCATCTTCTGTGGGACTACCTGTACATTTTCTAGGCATTAACAAAGGTAATCAGACAACCAAGTATTAAAAAACAGGAATATTACTGACCATCAACTTTAGGTTCGAATCCAGGTTCGCACAGATCGTTTCTCCGCTGACAGTAGGATTCCATATGGGCTACGCCGACAACTGACTCAGGGTAATCAAACTGCTTGCCCAGTTCAATGTTGCACATGCAGCGCTTTGTTTGTTCATCTGTGAAGTCTCTGGGTCCGTCTGGATTGTTGACTGTGCAGAAGGTTGTGTGGAAACACGAGGAAAATGTATGGATGTGTATATTAAACAAAAATCAGCAGGTATTTGATCACACGAGAGAGGGGGAAAGGTGAGGAGGGAAAAACAAGAGGGGCAGATGGGGAAAGGACAGAGAGAGGGGGAGGGATGGAGACGGAGGCAGAGCATTAAGAGTGAGAGGAAAGGAAGGAGAGAAAAGAGGGAGAGGGAGGGGACTGTAAGATATAAAAGAGAGGCGACAAAAAAGAGGGGTGTGGGAGAGTAAAAGGGATATAAAGAGAGAGGAGAAGAATAGATGGGTTAGAACAGAGGTCGCAGACAGAGAGAGTGGTGATGAAATAAGAAGGGAGGGAGGAAAAAGACAGCTTAGGAAGAGAGACAGAAAGATTGACCAGACAGAGAGGATAGAGGGGACAAATGGACAGAAGGAAAGACAAACAAAAGGGGATACAGAAATAGTTTTAAACAGCAAAAAGAAGTTGCTTAACAGGCTGACTTGTGAGGCATATTTAAAAAAACAAAATCATTCATAAGCTAAATATGGCACAGACAGGTCAAGACAGAAGATCTGATCTGTGATTCCTGGTCATCAGCTGAGCCATGGCTGCTTACACTTGATCATGTAAAATACTGAAAGTTAAGGACTGTTTTCACATCACTTGCACACTGGGCATATCCCTCTATTCTTTTGGTATATGCCTTGTATGGCATAGCATCACAAGGCATTCTTCTTCTGCTTATTCTTCAAATCATTCATTAGCTTCAAACTTCAGCCGAAAGTTCTGGTTATTTGTAAATTTTGGGACTTTGGCCTTTTCTCATAACTTGAGTTTTGCATGCACATCCATTTTATTGATCTGCCTTATTATTTGTGTGCAGACTATTGGTTCCTTGCCACTCAGGTAGATGCACTTCGACTTTGAAGGAAACATCCCAAATTAGTCTACTTCTTTGACATGCTTGTTGTTGGCTGAGGGGGGGGGGGGGGGGGGGAAGGGGGGGGGGGTGGCGTAGGCCTGTTCTATTTTGCCCTAAAATGGGATACTGGAACCCAAAAGTGGAACAAGGCAGTCAAGTGAGTAAACAATGTTACTGCTGTCGTTGTATGTAATTTAGTATTGGTTGTATGCTGATTTTTTGACACCCTATTTCTGCAGTGATTATTCTTTGCTTCTCCTGTGGGTGATGTTTCTGCCAATGAAGATTGGAAGGACGATCTTTTTCTTCTTCTTAGAGTTTACTGGCTGTAAACTCCCGCGGAAGGTTATGGTTGTTTGTCTACTTCTGAAATTCAGCCCTTTTCCAGAACTTTACTTTTGCATGCACGTCACAGGACCGTGTTTGTACAGTCATGCGGCAGTGCATACCATAGAGACGGTGTACGGTGTGTACGGGTACGGTGGAAGCATGACTGTCCAGGTATGTGCTGTAATAGCTAAGGAGAAACTACCGCTCAGCGAGACCTAATGGTGACAGCAATTAAGTGCTGAAAGAGTGAACTCCCTTTCTGGCGGGTCCATGATTGCTACATGGCCCTAGCTGAGCGAACTGACTGTGACAAAAGTCACAAGGTCGGAGTCATAGGGACATTCGACATTCAGGATTTAGACAGGAGATACGGACATGATTAGCTGGACAGAATAGAATGTTAGGGTGTTAGAATAATATTTTAGTGACCGCATCAATTGTGCTAAGTGTTACGTTATGATAGTAAAGCTTCTCTGTGTTGTGTAGCGTCTAACAGTGACAGGTGTTGTGTTGTTCTTTAGTGTGTAAGTAGTGTTGGTGTATTCTGATAAGTAGAATCGGGTGATATGGTTTTTGTGATGATTTCTATCCTCAGCACACTGGCCCTGCACTCGATGGATGCTCTGCGATCCTGGTGAGGTCCAGTGGCATCAGAAGAGAGCGTATCCCGCACAGGTGTGGTTTGTGGACCTGCGATTTGCCAACTGGAACCCATTGGCGTGTTGAGTGTATGTAAAGCTAGCCCGGCCAGGGTTTCGGGCAACAGGTGCCCACACAGCGGGAAGTCAACTGTCCTACTGTTTATCTGTGACATACATTAAAGATTGTCATGTGTGCTCCGTGGGTGTCCGGTTTCAATGTGTATTTCGGTAGATCATCTGTCACATACCATCAAGGTCAATTAGAGGTTGGTGACAATATTACAGATCTGGCTTATGTGTGTGCAGACTGTTGGTTCATTGCCTCTAAGGCAGATGACTAGTTTCGAAGGAAATAACCAAACTAGTCGACTTTTATTAAATGTTTATTAGCGAGACAGTAGGTCCCCTGGACCCACGTGTGAAGCAAGGAAGATCAAATCTGTTTACAGCCACAGACTTTGCACTTACCATTTTTACAGTTCTTGTCCAGTGGCCAGTCACGGCAGCGCTCCATTGTGAATGAAGAGGTCCTCAAAGACTGGTTCTGAGAAGCATCACACATTTCGCAGGTATCTTGTGTTCCGTTACGTTCACATGGTGCAACTTGAAACCCTAAACAAGAAGAGCAAACATATAAATAACACGCGAATAACAACTCATGACTATCACGGCAATAACAACACTTGACTATCACGGCAATAACTACCCATGACTATCACAGAAACAACAACCCATGAATATCACGGAAATAACAACCCATCACTATCACGCCAATAACAATCCATAACTATCAGTATAGTGGGTGTCACAGCAGGCTTTTCAGCCCAAAAACTTAAAAAAAGGTTTTAATAAAAGCATTCAAACCCATAAAAGGAAACAGCCGACCTCTTTTGATTATCTGAAGCCTCCAGCTGTGTAACTTCATTGCGCAAAACTAGTGTATATGTTCTGAGGCATATTTTTCAATCGCCATCCCCACACATTTAACCTCCATCAACTAACATCCAGCTTTATCCACACATATCCAAATTCTGGAAAATATCTTAATGACTGGAAAGATACCTGGTAGAAGAAGCAGAGGCAGACCAAAAGAAAAGATAAAGGATAGCTTAAGACAGTGGCATGGAGGAATATCATCAGTAGAATTGATCAAGAACACCAAAGACCGAGATCTGTGGAAATGCATGAACGCCTACACCAGCTGGCATGGCACTTGACGATAATCCAAATTCCATCATTACATCCAATTTCATCCACAAACATCTAACTTCATCCACAAACATCCAACCTCATCACCACTCATCAAAATTCATCCTTGCTAATGCTACCCAAGTTCCCAATCGCAGATCCCATCTGGGGGCCTGGGGCCCCCTAAAAAGCATGCTGTAAAAGGCGATTAGTTAGAGGTGTTTTTTCTAAGGCAGAGTACATCTGCCCGACAGGACAGGAACCAACAGCCTGCATACAAATAAGTGAGATCTGTGAAATTGATATGCAGGCAAAAACTCAAGTCTGGAACAAAACTAAAGTCCAAAAGTGGACAAACAACCAGAACTTTCTGCCAGAGTTTACAGCAGGTTAAGGCAAAGATGAATAAGATTAAGAAGAAGACTACTGAAGATTTGACAGTTCATATTTTTCAGTTTCAGCATAGCCACAACCCTTCCCACCAACACTCAGCTGCAGATATAAGGCCAACAACACATGTCACTATACTAAAGTGAATCTTATCAGAACTATTTTATGGCCAACACTATGCTATCAATGCCAAACGTGGACATTTACATCCTCCAATGAACGTAAAATTGTGACAACAGAGATGAAATGCCTTAGAGCTGCAGGAGTTTCAAGGAAAGACAGAATAGGAAATCATGAAATCAGACGAATGCAAGGAATAAAGCAAGACTTATAGGTCATCAAAGAACAACAAATGAAGTGGTTTGGACACCTAACAAGAATGCCCTGGTACTATCCGCAACAGCGAGCCACACTAAAACGTTACAACGGGTATAGAGCGAGTGGAAGACCTCAGAAAATATGGAGTGAAGGCATTAAGAACAGCCTTACAGAAATGAACATCAGTCTTAACAGTGCTCTTGACAGAGCTCATCAACGAACATTACATCCCCCCCCCCCCCCCCCCCCCCCGACACTTTGCTGAGGTACAAGGTGGACGAGAAGAAGAAGAAGTATTTTTGTACTGCAGTTTAAAGGCTTCATTTGCTTGCTTCTCAATGTTTAATTTGTTCATCGTGCAAATGCAAATAAACCCACAAAAGTCCTCTCTTCTCTCCCCCTCCCCTTCCCTAATGTTTATTTTATATATATAAAAGATCCTTATTAATATTCCTGGTTCATTTTTTTAAATTTGTATTTTTCCATATAAATATAAAGGGAGTAATCGATAAACAAAGAACAGAGTTAAACATTTAATAGAATACATGCACACCATTATGTGGGCTGTCTCAATGAACTCACATGTTGATTTCAGGTCCTCTATGATTCCCAATAGCCTGCTATGCACACTTTGCCCTTGAGGCCAGGTTCATCTTCATAGTTTTAACTCTTTCAGGCCCATGAATTTTGATAGACTTGGCCCACATTAATTTCCCTTTACAAAAATGGCAGAGGGGTGGGTGTACAAGAAAGGCTGTAGAGATTGTAATATACTTCTAATCCCTATAAAAGTATAGTTTTTTTTAAAGAGAAATGGATGTACTTTTTGAATCTGATGATAAGTGTTTGTTTGATTTTGTTATAATTAGTGGAAAAGAAGAATTCAGCAGGTGTTAATTTCACAAGGACAACATTTCAAAAAAAAAATTCTTCACTTACCATGGTTTTGCAGCCACAAGAATAGTAAATATCCAAATTTGAGAACAAAACTTCAAAGTTTGTTCAATTTCCTAACATATTCTAAAGTTATGATAATTTTCTGGGTTAGTTTATCACTCAGAGCTCTTAGTTCCCGAGTGCTAAGCAAAATGTCAGAGAAAAAAATGGCAGAAAAATGAGCCACACACTATTTACTATTCACTTTGTACAGTTATTTACAGACTGTAGCTGCGATGATTTCATTGTAGCTTAGCCATAGTATAGTACTATCTCTTTGTTTAGAGCACTTTCCTTCTCTTACACCATAAATACGGTAGTATGGGACATTGTATGTGTAATAAACTCGTCAGAATAGCTAGATTCCGAACAGCTGATCGCTTAGCTTCACTGGTGAAAATTCACTGTCCGAATCACTTTCCGAAAAATCTAAATTTTTATTATCATTATCACAATTAAAAACATCTGACTGAAACAATTTCAGAGCTTCGGCCGCAGAAAGACGCATTCTGCGACTGGTTCTTGTGGTTAGAACATTGGTATTCAGTACACTCAAAAACGAACTTAGAAAATGAACTGTTAAAAAGAATTTGATGTTTTTTTTCTCTCAAATTATCCACGTGTGGTTTAGTCCAAGAAATGAAACTAAAAGGATTTTGGCAGAGTGACTTTCCCTGAATAGGTTATTCGTACCTCCAAACATTAGAAACTAGTACGAACGCGCGTGCGAAGCAAAATGTAAAAGATACACAATTGACGATGACACCGTTGTTTGGGCAGAACGGAACTTCTCAAACTACGCTCACACCGTTGTTTGGGCCTTAAAGAGTTAAGTATAGTGGGCAGGCCTGTAGAATGTGCTCAAGTGTGTAAGCTTCCATCTGACATGCACACTGTGGGGACTGTACAGTCTTTATTAGATCAAAATCTCTACAAACAGGACACTGCAGGCTCAAATACCAAATACGTAAAATAAAGATTATACAGTCCCCACAGTGTGCCTGTCAAACAGGACACAAACACCTGAGCACATTCTGCAGACCTGCCCACTCTACCTACAACTTAAAAAAGACACCTGGCCTCAAGAGCAATGTGTGCAGAGCAAGCTATGGGGAACCATGAAGGACCTGCTGCTGACATACGAGTTCAGAGAGGCAACCCACCTGATGATCTGATCTGAGCATATGAACCGAAAGCAAAGAAGAAGAAGAAGATCAAAATCAGAATGATTATGTGTGCTTACCTACGCCACACCATTTGGGATAACAGCAGGTGGTGAAACTGGGTCGTGTGCGCACCTGCAGCAGCTGCCCTTGTGGACATTCCCTGGCTGTCCCCAATACTTCCAGGTAAGGATGCTGAGGAGAAGGAAAAAATGAGTTTCTTAGAATGTTGAGGTTAGTGAGGAGTGGCTGGCCAAGTGGTTAAACTACTGAGCTTTCATGTGGGAGACCTGGGTTCTAATCCTCAGTAAAGCCAGGAACATTACTTGTCGGACACATAAATAAACATCCTAACCTGCACAGTTAATAGTAACTTATTTGTAATGTGGCCCTTAATTAATCATCAGGCTCAAGACACTTCAAGTCCCACACAAACCTAAATAAAAGTACTCCTGTAGGTTTTCTTTATGGTACATCCCTTATACTGTTGTCCAAATCAGTGCAAAGTGGTCTGCTGTCAAACAGACCACAGCTGATTTACAATCATGATGCATCTTTCATCTGGCAACCTAAAGATGTGAGTCATGGATTCATCTGCTATCACTCAAGAAGAAAACTGGAAGCACAGTAGGACATGGACTAGAGGCTTGCTGCTTGTCAACAAGAAGGTTCTGGGCTCGAATCTGCACTGCATAATAATTTTTTTTATAAGTGTCTAGAGCTCCCAGATCGACTTAGTAATGGCAGTTTTGGCCGTATGCAATGTTCTAATCTTAAAAATGTCAGTAAAAATATTTATTTTGATATAGGGAAGTGAATCAGGGATAGTTAGTAAATTAGTAAAAACTCATTTGGAAGCTGCGGAGATGTGGCTTTTTGACGAATGATGAGAACACCCAGAACAGATAAAAAGAATTTTAAGTATTTATTGAAAGAAACTGACTCACAAAGGGAACTGAGACAGTCTGCTTTATTTGGTCAAGTGAGGAGAAGGAGAAAACTAGAGTACATTGTGACAGCAGGTAAACTGGACGGGATGAGAGGCAGAGGGAGACTGAGAGAAAAGATGGTGAACAGTTTGACATCCTGGCATGGAGGATCATCTGTGCCAGAGTTGACTGAAAGTATGTGAGACAGAAGTTGTGGATAGAGATAACTACCAAAGACATTTGTTCAGATGATGTTAAAGTGTTATAAAATGTCAGTAAACATAATTTTCATTATATACAGATGATGTTGAAATCTGATAAAATATCAGCATTTCCACAACGACTTCTTTCCTCACATTTTTAAAGTCTGTAATATGGAGCGGTTTGACTAAGTCACCACGCTTCAAGATTAAGTCAGGTTCCAGGTCACTGACACGAAGTCAAGGCTTAAGTCACCAAGAATGCTTCCAAGTCAAATTCCGAGTCTAGCGAATTCATATTTCAGGTCATTTGCAAGTCGTGCAAGGAACAATGCTTTCGGATCAATCAGAAATGGTGAAGACAGAAAATCAGAAATTGCAGTGCAAAAAAATTCACTTGTATAAGAGAGGAAGAAGTTGAATGTGAAAGCTTGATAAATCTAAGCAGACTGTATTCTATCCTGTTTTATATTAAGAAGTTTTAAAAT